GGCTTCCAATTCTGTCTCCATCTCTCTCTGCCCTCCCTTTCTCATGTTCTGTCTGTATGTCTGTCTGTCTGTCTGTCTCTCTCTCTCAAAAATAAACATTTTAAAAAATTAACAATGTCACCTGAATTTCTTGGGCCTCAAAAGTAAAATGAGAGGCAAATATCTCCAACCTCAGTTGCCGTGAGGATGTCGCCTGGCACAGGCTCAGCACGGAGAAAGCTCAGCCAGTGATGGGTCTGATTAGGATTGCTAGGACGGCTGTGCCTGAACGACCCTAGGACAGAAAACCACACCCTTCAGGCAGGGTCACACCTGCCTTCCACAAAGCCCAACCCTTCTTATCCACGATCCAGTTCGTTCACACACTTTGCCCAGACACACAAAGCCCTCCACTCCCTGACTTTTGCCGCATTTTCCAGCCTGTTTCTCGCTCTCATCTCTCCAAGCCGCTGTCATCTCTCGAACTCTGTGCTCAGCTTTCACATCTTTGGCTGTTGCCACTGCCAGAAATCCGGCCCAGGTATCTTCCATGATGCCCATCGAACACCTCCTTATTTGAAAGGCAAGGCCACTCAAACATCGCCACGCCCTCCACGGGCTCGCTGAACCCACGCGGGCGCCTATGCACATGCGCACTCTGTGCTTGCCTTGCTTTACTGTGTTTCAACGGGAAGATGAGATGTGGGGCAGCTCTAGCCCCAGGGCCTTGAGCAAAGCCTGGCAGAGAGCAGGTCCTTAGGAAGCACTGGGTGATTGAATGGGCGAATGACCCATGAGTCTAGCCAATGGAGAGTGTTCTTGTTCCTTCCAGAGATAGGATGCTCCTATCAGTACAGACCCGGATTGCATTCGGACCTGTTTTCCACAGCTTCGTTGTACTAGTGATTATTGTGAACCGGGAGCCAACTGCATATCTCAAATCTTTCCCACACGTCCTGGGTGTTACCAAATTGCCCCATATTTTCTTTTCTATTTAAAAAAATTTTTTTAATGTTTATTTTTGAGAGAGAGAAGAATCCAAAGCAGGCTCCAGGCTCAGCTGTCAGCACAGAGCCGGACACGGGGCTTGAACTCACAAACTGAGAAATCACAACCTGAGCCGAAGGCGGATGCTTAATGGACTGAGCCACCCAGGTGCCCCTCCCCATATTTTCAGGGGGTGAGCCACCCAGGTGCCCCTCTACATATATGTGCGGAGATGTTTTTGGATCCAAACATAGGATTTAAGATTCCATCTAATTATTTCCCAGCTAGTTATTTTATCATATTGATTGTATCTTTTTAGCCAACTCACATGCTTTTGGGATGAGGTTGTATGGGCGTGTTTTACTTTTTTTTTTAGTTGTAACACATCATTTTTAGTGTTTTAATTATTTTTTAAAAGATTTTATGTTTAAGTAATCTCTACACCCAATGTGGAGCTTGAATTTACAACCTCAAGATCAAGAGTCACATGCTCCACTGACTGAGCCAGCCAGGCACCTCCTTAATACTTACTTTAAAAACATTTTTTTGTTGCTGAATAACTTTTTTTTAAATTGACAGACTGTATTTTTTTTAATTTGTTAATATTTATTGATTTTTGAGAGACAGAGACAGAGCATGAGTGGGGGAAGGGCAGAGAGAGAGAGCAAGACAGAATCCTAAGCAGGATCCAGGCTCTGAGCTGTCAGCACAGAGCCCGATGCAGGCCTTGAACTCACAAACTGAGAGATCATTACCTGAGCAGAAGTCAGACACTTAACCGACTGAGCCACCCAGTTGACCCCCAACAGACTATTTTTAAGAGTAGTTTTAGGTTCACAGATGATAACTTATTTTGATAACTTGATTTTTTTAAGATTGTTGGGTTTTTTTAAGTGATCTCTATGCCCAATGTAGGAACCAATGGTCACATGCTCCACCAGCTGACCCAACCGGGTGCCCCTTGAAAATGTGATATTGAAATCCACCGTAGCGGCCAAGGGCAGTCTGCCCCTAGATGGACCACTTGGGCATAAAGAGTATTTCGTGTTAAAAGTAATTAAAACCCAGCATGGAGTGTCAGGGTGGCTTCATCGGTTAAGTTCCCAACTTCAGGATCTGGCAGTTCAAGTCCCGCATTGGGCTCTGCACTGCCAGTGCAGAACCTGCTTGGGATTCTCTCTTTCTCTCTCTCTGCAACTTCCCCGCTTGACCGTTTTCTCTCCTCCTCTCAAAGTAAATAAACTTAAAAAAAAATTTTTTTTTAAGTAATTAAAACCCAGCAGATGCAGGAAAGGCTCCCAGCCTCCCACTCAGCTGCCAAAATTTGCATTAAAAAGGAGAGCCTGTACCAAAAAGAGAGCTTCACCTAAGAATCTTATCTGCATAATTGGGCAACCTTGTTTTTCCAAACATCTCCTCTCCCCTTCCTGCTAATGAGCGTTCTTCCCTTTTTACCCCCAGACCCTTCCTCTGTCCTCAGCTCAGATAAGCCTCTTGTTGCCTCATCAGCTTTGGAAGTTCATGTCTGAGGGGACTGCCCATACGTATAGCTATTAAATTTGATTTCCTGTTAATCTGCCTCATGTCAATTTGATTCTAAGTCGAGCTGGAAGGACCGTAGGGCAGAGGAAGGTCGTCCGCCGCAGCATCACCTTGTTGGATTCTGCCCCTCATTCTGGCTCATTGCCATTTGGGGGGGGGGGGGGAAGGGCGGCTTGGATCCGCCTCTCTTGCCTTCAGTGTGGCACTTGCTATTGTGAGAGGTGAGTGTTGGTTTCCACCGGTACTGTTGATACCAGGGTAGATCTGCTGAGTGTGGTGAGTGGCAGACACTGACATTCCCCTGACCACCAGAGCCAGGTTTCCGGTTCCTTGGCCGTGACTACGCAGTCAAGTCTGCCAGCATCACCTAAGCTTGCACTTTCCCTCCTGGGGGCCTCCTCTGCTGCAGCCCTCAACTCCTGTGCGCCCTCAAGTAAGCCTGCATAAAAGGAAGGGGCTGGCGGGGACAGCTGGTTCCGAGTCACAGCAGGCAATGGAGCTCTGCCCCTTGTCTTCCAGGCCTCCTTCCTTTTAGAACCCGGATTCCGATTGTATCTTCAATTTCCCAGCTTCCCTTGCAGCAAGGGAGGGTCATGTGGCAGTTTCCTGCCAATGTCTCTAGGGGGCAGATGACCCTTCTGGAAAAACAAAATGGCAAAACTCCTCTTGGGAAAAAAAAAAAAAAGACTTTTGCATTTTCCCCTTCTTCATGCCTGGACTGTGCTTGCATCGGTCTTCACATGCAGTAGGAGGAACAGGCCTTATCCCCATTTTACAGATGAAGAAATTGAGGTTCAGAGACATAAATTTAATTTTCTCGAGGTTACAAGACTCAGATAGCTCCTGCAGGAAAACTAGAAGCGCCAACTCATTTCACTGAGATTAACTAGCTTAACTTTCCCTTTTTGTCCAGGCTGCCAGGAAGCTCAGTGCCTATTATAAATATAAAGCTCAATCATGCCTAGTATTAACCCTTAACACTGGTGCTTTACTGCCCTTTCCCTTTCCCTTGTCTTCAATGCCTCTTATGAGACCTAAGAGGCTAATCCTTTCTTATAAGACGCCTCCTTCTCTTTTGGAAAGCTTGGGGTTGCCCAGCTTACCATTCCCTGGCCTCTGCAGATCTCTCCACTCTGCTCTGGGCAGCAGTGATGTAAATGGGCCACATGGATAGGTTTGATGGTTTTGGCTCCAGTTTGGCCAACAGGGAGCCTTGGTAAGAGGAACGAACTTCCCCATGAGGACCCTCATTCAGAGTCCTGACCCCAAGAAGCACTCGCTGCCTTCCTGCCAGAGGCCACGATCATCAGCCCAGGGTGCTACCCTCTTTCTTGCCGGTCCCTCTCTCTCTCCCTGCCCGCACCTCTGTAAACTGTCCCTGTACCAAATTCTCAAATTACCCCAGCTGAGTGGTTCTTGCCAGGGCCCCGTTAGGGCTGTCTGCATCCCCCAAATTCATACGTTGAAGTCTTAGCCCCCAGTGTGATATTTAGAGGTGGGCCCTTTGGGATGTAACTAGGTTTAGATGAAGTTTTGAGGGTGGGGCTCCATGATGGGATTAGCCCCCTTGTAAGAGGGAGAGATCTCTCCATGAGAAGCAGGCACCAAGGCCCCATGGGAACACGTCCGGGGGACGTCCGGGGGCGGCTGTCTTGTACCAGCCAAGCAGCAGGCTTTCACCAGGCATCTGCTGGGACCTTGATCTTGGACTTCCAGCCCCCAACCTGTGGTATTTTGTTAGAGCCGCCCAAGCAGCCCTGAACACAGAGCACAGAGGAAGTGCATTGTTCATAAAAGTCCTTGTGATGTCCCCTCCCCTCAGCGGAGCTCGGCTCAGCATCTCATCGCCTCTTGCCTGCACCCCACACCTGCCTCTCGGTTGGGCTCGCTGTCCCTGCCCCCAGCATATCCGACTTGGTGTCACAGGATCCTCTGAGGACGAGGCCGTGGCCTCCCTCCACTGCCTGACTTCCAGGTGCCAAAGGTTCTCAGACCGGGTAGGTGCAATTAGCTGTCCCCGGAAGGGGAATTCGGGGATGTGGGCGGGGAACCGTCACGTAAGCCAATGGTAGTGTGGTGGGTGACATGATGGTGTGCACGGGGCATTAGGGAGCAGAGAAGGGGCACCAGCTCAGCCTGGCTGGGAGCACCGTGATGAAGGAGGCAGCGCTCCTGGAGTGAGGGCTGAGCTGGACCCCAGGGAGTGAGCAGGGGAAGGCTTTCTGGGCAGAGGGACCAGCATGGACAAAGGACAAAGATCGGGAGGCAAGAACCAGCAGGGAGGATCCTGGTTGAGGGGACGGAAGGGAGGTGGGCACCACACACCAAAAGGGGGCCCAGACTCCGGCCGCAGGAAGTGTCCCGCCCAGGAGAAATCCACCAAATAAATGCACATTAAGGCTGGCCAGGGCAGGGCTGGAGGCTGAGGCCAGTGAGGAGGTCGCCCCTTGGAGAAAAAAGTGAGGCCTTGTGTCCCTGAAGCGGGGACTCACCTCCAGCCATCTCTTTGCCCCTCCTACTCCCTAAGGTTCCAACATGGCGCCCTGTGAGCGTGCAGTGCATCAAATCTACTCCAGATCCGCAAGTGCGCCTCTCTCCCTGGCTCCCCTCCCTGTGTCTTTCCCACACACGAGGTGGTCATGAGTGCACGTGGGACCCAGCTAAGGAGGCGTGGGGCTGCTGAGGGAGCCCCCAACTCCCCATCCCACCCTCGCCCCGCACAGCCTCACCTGGATCTCTGTGTTAGTTTTATTTCCTTTGCTTTGGTCTATACAAAAAAACCAATAACCAAAAACATAAAGCGATAATAATAAAACTCTCCGCTGAGACCTCCCGCAGCCCTCCACACCCACGTGCAGGGGGTGCTGGTGGGTTCGAAACAGGAAGGGGAAGAGAAAGCCCCTCACCGCACACCAGAGGGGTCAGTCAAGAGCACTTCTCAGGAGTCAGCTAGGGCGGTGGAGTGGGTGGGCCGGGGTGCCAGGGAGCTGTCCCCCGAGCTCCCAGGAAGGGGCCAGATCCGGTCGGGTGTCCTGGAGAGAGGAGCAGGCAGTGTCCTGGAGTGGGGGACTCACTCTCCGCGTCTCCATCCCATCTCCTTGTCGGTCCCTGAACTTTTCAAGACAAGCTTTGGATTCTGTGATTTGGGGCCTTGAACCTGGGTCCTGGACACCCCAGGGACTCAGAACAGTCGCTCGACTGGAGTCTGGTGAGAAAATCAGGCCCAGGTTAGGAACCAAAGCTCTGTGGGGCCCGGGTTGCTGGAGTCAAGCCGCCCGGGCTGGGGGCGGGAGTGGGGGGTTGGGGGTGATGGCCAGGTCGGAGAAGAGAGCAGGTGATTGTGTCTAAAGCTTTAGTGCCGGGGCCACAGAGGTGGGGAGGGGGTGTCGGGCCCTGGACCCACGGCCCAGGACAGAAAAGCAGGAGCAGATCACCATCCCAAGAAAGACCCTGCAGAGGACCTCTGGAGGCGTGGGGTTCGGCGAGAAGTCGCAGCCCTGCTCCCCTGGGCTCAGGCACTTTTCCGTCTCGCCCCATCGCCTGCACGGAGAGCCTCTCAGATGAGGAAGCGCACCTGGGGGTGAGGCAGACACAGGGGGGTCAGGGCAGGCCTGTGTCCCCCAGGAGCTTGCCCCCCCACGTCACCCCCCCACTACCCACAGAGGGGCAGGGCTCCTACCCCCGCAAGATAACAGAGTGAGGCAGGCCGAAGACACCTTCCTTGGCAGGTGCTCGACAGCAAAGGACCCACACTCATTCCTCCCCCCAGAAAGAGCCAGAATTTCAAAGGAAACATGAGAGGGGGTTCTGGTGGGGGGAAGCATGTCTCCACAGCCCGCAGACACGAGGGAGGGCGCCGTACTGGAAAGGAGCCGGCTAGGCCAGCATGTGGTCCGCGGCGGGGTAGGGGGGCCTGAGGCCGTCGCTGTAGGTGTCGATGGGATAGTCCCCGTCCATGTCCATGTGCATGTCCAGAGGGTCCAGGGGCACGTCACTTGAGTACATGGGGCGGTAGGTGGCATCCATATCTGGGGAAGAGAAGTGAGGGGGACCTTCTAAGGTCTGTAGACCACCCGGCTGGACAGCCCTCAATTCATCAGCAGGGGGCCTGACCCCTTCCTTAAACTCCCACATCAGGGGGCCCCCAGGGGATATCCGTGGACGCTATACGGTGTCTGCCACTGGAGACACGTGCCTCTCCTTCACTCACACCCACAGACACCCCGCGCCCCGGGCTCCTGGGGGTCGCTGAGGAACTCTGCACACACTTACCATCCGCGTAGGGTTCGTTGATGGGGATCATGCTCTGGGCCTATGGAGAGAGACAGAGAAACATTGGGGGAAGGGAGAAGGGTGGAAAATGTAGGCTCTGGGCTAGGGGTGGGCAGCTGGAGAGGGTTCTAGAATGGGGGCCGGGGAAAAACAAAGACCTCTTGAAGGAACAGAGGATGAAATGGGGTTATGCAGTGTCCCCATGGGCCCCTCCCCGCAGTCACCACCTCCTGAGCATGGAAGGTCCCACTGTTCATGCTTGGGGGCACCCACAGAAACAGAGCAGCCCTGGGGGCTGGGGGTGGACAAGTGGACCTGAGAGCGAGTACCAGGAGTGCCCCACCCAGGATCGGGGCAGCCTCTAGCCTACAGGGCACCTTCGTGCCAGTTAGAAAAAGGTTCCCTGCCTCAAATACTTATAATACATAGCGTGGACAAAATACAATGACCATTCTGGCAGGTCAAAATCAGAAAGATAGTTCAGCCTACCACTTCCACCTGCTAGAAACTGTCATCAGTGATCCAATTAAAAAATAAAAATCAGGGCGCTTGGCTGGCTCAGTTGGTTAAGCGTCGAACTCTTGATTTCAGCTCAGGTCATGATCTCATGGTGGTGAGATCGAGCCCTGCATGGGACTCTGCACTGAGCATGGATGGAACCTGCTTAAGATTCTCTCCCTCCCTCTCCCTCTGCCCCTCTCCCACTTGGGGTGCACATGCGCATGCTCTCCCTCTCTCTCTCAAAAATTAACTTTAAAAATAAAAAATAAGAAACTTAAAGAAACAATTACAAAACAAAAATCTATGAAGTTGACAGTATGGTAGGAGCCCCCTTAAAAGTGCTGTCCTTGTGCAGTGTGCAACTTGCAGAACCATACATTGCAGGCCCACCCAGGATACTCACGGCCTCCCAGGCAGCTGGGTCATGCTTGAAGAGGGAGTTGGTGAGCTCCACAGACACACGCTTACGGTAATCTGGGTTCTTGTCCTCGGAGATGCGGAACAGGACAGCAGCAGCATAGGTGGCTGGGCAGAGAGGAAAGGAAAGACCAGTTCAGGTGCCTGCCTCCACTCCGGCTAGAGGACCAACACTCAGCCCTCCTCTGTTACCCCCTTGCCCACAGCACAGCCCCGCACCTGTGCCCTCATTGCGAGAGTGCAGTAGCTCCATGAGTGGGGACGAGGCCCCCTCGGCATCAATGGCATCAGCCGCCTCCTTGTCCTGGGCCAGCTCACACAGCACCCCCGCAGCCACACGCTGGATGTTGTCCACCGATGAGTACAGGAGCTGGGGAGAGCGCGTGCAGGGTGGGGAAGGGGTAAGGCAGGCAGAGGGGGGCAGCCCGCCTCCCCTCCCTGTCCATCTCTGCCTCCCTTTTCTGGATTTAACACAAGCTCATACTAGACAGTGTAAAGTCTAAGAAAAGTATAAAGAGACAGAAAAGAAAACCAGCCATAATTCCCCACCCACACACAGCCTCTGTTAATACGCTGGCCTATTTCCATCAGATTTTTACCACAGTCCTGCTTTTTATCCATAATTTTAAAAAATGTTTTTTAAATGCTTATTTATTTTTGAGAGACAGAGTGTTAGTGGGTTAGGGGCAGAGAGAGAGACACACACAGAATCTGAAGCAGGCTTCAGGCTCTGAGCTGTCAGCACAGTGCAGGGCTCAAACTCACAAGCCATGAGATCATGACCTGAGCCAAAGTTGGATGCTTAACCAACTGGGCCATCCAGGCGCCGCTAAGATTTTGTTTTAAAGTAATCTCTACACCCAGCGTGGTACTCGAACTCACAACCCCAAGATCAAGAATCTCATGCCCCACCAACAGAACCAGCCAGGCCCCCCCCCCCCCCCGCAAAGCATATATTTTGATAGTTTGATTCCTGTTTGGTTGGTTGGTTGGGTGGTTGGTTGGTTGGTTGGTTGGGTGGTTGGTTGGTTGGTTTTTTTACCTAACATTGTAGCATAAGGCATTTTCCTACATTATTAAAAAACATTTCCTAGAAATCTATGAGTTCATACTGGTAAGAGAAAAAGAGAATGCTAAAAAGCAAAACAATAATGAAAACAAACAAACAAACAAAACCCTCAGTGATCACAATAGGAGGTCACAATGGTACCAATCCCTTACTCTGAACTCTAAAGGGAAAAATTCCTTGGGGCACCTGGGTGGCTCAGTCAGTTAAGCATCCAGCTTCAGCTCAGGTCATGATCTCACAGTTCACGGCTTTGAGTCCCCGTGTTGGGATCTGTGCTGACAATTCACATCTTGGAGCCTGCTTTGGATTCTGTCTCCCTCTCTCTGCCCCTCCCCTACTCATGCTCTGTCTCTCTCTCTCTCTCTCTCAAAAATAAACAAACATTTTAAAATAAATAACGGGAAAAAATTTCAAAAGCAAAAAATTCATTAACATCATTATATATGGCCATAGGATATAATGGGCCATTCTTTTTTTAACCATTCCCTCATCATTGGACATTCATTTTGTTTCCATTTCTTATAAGTGACGTTGCGATTGTTGGCCATAGGTATACATTTCTGCCACATTTTAAATTATTAAAAATTATTTCATAAGGAGAAAAGTCCCAGACTTGTAGTCAAAGGCTATGAATATTTTCAAGGCTCTCTACATAGGTTGCAGAACTGCCTTCAGGAGACGTTTTACCATCTTCTCTCCTCACTGGCAGGATATGGGACTGCCTCTTTCATCACGTCTTCGCCAGTACAGGGCACCCATTTTTTGTTGTTGTTGTTGTTGTTGTTGTTGTTTTTTCCTTTGCCAATTTGATAGTGGAAAATAGGATCTCACTGGGAATGTGAGCTTCACTTTTTTAAACTCCTGGGGTTGAGCACTGTTTGTTTATGAGCCACCTGGGAATTGCTTCTGCCTCTGCCCATCTAACCCCTGGGGTCTAGTATTAGTGAGTTCTTTTATATGAAGCATATTAGACTCTTGTCTATTGTAATACCTGCAAACATTTTCCCAATTTACTGTTGATTTTTTATTTTTTATTTTATTTTATTTATTTTATTATCTTATTTTGAAAAAGAGTATGAGTGGGGGAGAGGGGCTGACAGAGAGAAACTTTTTTTTAATTATTTTGAGAGAGAGAGAGAAAGAGTGTGTGTGCATGGGTGCACGCGCGTGAGTCAGAAAGATACAGATTGAGAGAAAGAGAGACAGAGACAGAGAGAATGTGTGTGTGTGTGTGTGTGTGTGTGTGTGCGCGCGCAAGTGGGGGAGATAGAGGGAAAGGGAGAGGGGGAGGCAGGGAGAGGGAGAGAGAGAGAGAGAGAGAGAGAGAGAGAGAGAGAGAGAATCTCAAGCAGGCTCTGCACTGAGCTTGAACTCAAACTGTGAGATCATGACCTGAGCTGAAACTGAGTCAGATGTTTAACTGACGGAGCCACCCAGGCGCCCCTGCTGTTGACTTTTTAATGCTTTTGAGGCTGTTTCTGACATAGATGACTGTAATGGTTACGTGGTTGTATCTTAAGCTACTTTTCCCACCTGTGATCTCTTCCCTTGCTTTTGAGCTTGGAAAGCCACTCCTATGCAGGGATTCGCTAAGCGGTCACTCGTGGTGGGCCCCTTTTCTCCCAGCCCCTCCAAAGACCTCTTGATACCTGGCCCCCACAGGCCGCCAAGCTTCCCCTTCCAGCGGTGGGGGTGAGCAGGGATTGGAGGGTCCTCTCCCGTCCACCTGTCCCAGACTCACCTGCACAAACAGGGGGATGGTGTTGAGTCGGAAGATCTCCATGCGGTTCATGGGATCCCGGGCGAGGATGTGCAGGGCTCCGGTGCAGCCCTCCACAATCTCCTCCATCCTCACGCCATCCTGCACGAGAGGTGGCGTTGGGACGTGGCAACCGATGACCCTCGGACACGGCCGCACGCCCCGCGCCCCTGCCCCCTGCCCCGCGACAATCGGACAGACCTCACCGGTCCTCGGAGTGCACCTCCACTACGACTTGCCTCCCCATCCACACACACGCGCACGCACATTCACAAAAAGGACGCTGACCCCTGGGGAGGGCGGTCGCAGGTGGCGCCAGCTCACTGACCGTGTACGGCTGCTGCGTGCCCGCAGCCACGTGGCGCTGGGCGTCCTGGTGAGCCTTGACCAGCAGCTGAACCAGGCGGGGAATGACGGCCGCCTCCTGCAGAGGGGCGTGGTTGGCTGGACACAGCGCCAGGTTCCTGATCAGGCCGATGGTTGCCTGCCAAGCACAAAGGACCACGGTCAGGGACACTTCTTGGGCATCTGGAGAATCCCGATTTCCCAGCACCCTCTCCTCCTTCCCTTGTCATCTTTCTGTCCACCAGGCAGACAAAGACACACTGGAAGACCTCCAGACCATGAGAGCACTCCCAGCCCACGTCCCTTACTCCATAGGATCGGTAACTCTAACAGCCCCTGCTAAAAATGAAACCCCATTCCGGAACATTCTACCAGACCCATGCCCTGACCCCCCCCTTGTCCCTTCTCTCAGCACCCCTTCTCCCTGAGATACCAGGGTCTTATTTACTTTCCTGGTAATTCCCAAACCCTGATTATCAGGAAGTCCTGGCCGTGGTTGACCCCCAAGCTTCCTGCTTTAGTGATGCTCACACTGTGATCAGTCCCCGGTGAGGCCGCTTTGGGAAAAAGCCTCCTCCCCAGGGTCCCCGTCTCCCAAGGGCCAGGTGCGCCTCCCAGAGTCCCTCGGGGTCTTACAAAGCAAGTTATCATCTCATCTGACTCTCGAAACAAGCAGCCAGGAGAGCAGAGATGAAAATCATGAGAGATGGGGATGTGACCACAAGGTAGATGACTTGTCAAGGTCACTCTGCCACTTAACTGCTAAGTCAGACCCTCCCCCACCTCTGGCTTGCAGCAGAGACCAACCCCCAGGAGGGGCTACCTCTTTTTTTCTCATTGTGGATTTTTAAAATTCAGCGTGTAACTACTTAGAGTCATTCTTATCTGTACTGTCAAAACTGTCTAAAATTTCGCCAGTGGGAGTCCCTTCCAGCTGGCCCTCCTCTACCCAGGCAGCATCCTGCAGAGAAGGCTCTTTGCGCCTTTAATCCCTATGGCCCTAAGTGTTCCCCAGAACCCTTTCTGGTTTTTGTCTTTCTAGTATCCCTTCTGAATTTTAGCAGGACGCAAGGCCTTCGGACATATGACGCTTTGCCAGCTTCTGTGTATCTAGATGTGGCAACGTGATCAAGTTCCAAAGCGCAAGCCGAAGCGACGTGTCCCGCGGACCAGCTGCAGTGCCTGGGAGCCCGTTAGAAATGCAGCATCTGGAGCCCACCCCGGCCTACGGACTCAGGGCCTCTCTGTTACAGCAGCTTTGCCTGTACTGAGACTACCCCTGACGGCAGAGAGCCCCTTCCCCTCGGCTAGCCCCCCACAGTGGCCACAGCAGGTACCTTGACCAGCGGCCACTGGTTGGGCTGGTTGAGCAGCTTGACAATGGCCGGGATGCCGTAGTTGAGGCGCACGGAGTTCTGGGCCATCTCAGCCTCCGGGTGGCGGCTGGTGAGGTGGCGCAGGGCACAGACAGCAGGCTCCGTGATGTCGTCCTTGTCGCCAGCACGCAGGATGGCGTGGATGAGAGCCTCCACGCCGCTGTTCTGGGTCACCAGCGTCTTGTTCTTGCTGTTGTTGCATGTCAGGTTGGACAGAGTGCCTGTGGCACAGGTGAGGACGTTGACGTCATCCACGCTCAGCTGGTTTACCAGGATCTTCAGCACGCTCTCCAGGCCCTCCTGCAGGGTGTCGGGGAGGTGGCAGAGACTGAGGGTCCCCCAAATATGTCCGAGGGGAGCAAGATGGTCGCACAGAGTCTGAAGCCCACCTAGCTGATGGCCGATGGGCCCTGCATGTGCGCCTGGAATCTTCATCCCTGTGATTCTGTGACTCCCCATGGGAAGGTGGTACTATCAGGATGGTTGATGGGCTTGTGCACAGACCCACAGCCAGGGGGCCAGCTCCAAACGTCGGCCTGACTCCAAGTTTGTGCTCTTCGCTCCAACCCCTCCTGCCCCTCTCTGCATCCTCAAAGCCAGGCAGGGCCAGGAGGAAACTGCAGAGGAGGCTACATGCCTTGGTGGCCCAGCTGACCTGTTTTCCCTGCTTCTTGTCTCTCTGGGCCTTCACTGCTGCCCCCTCAGTGGTTCCCCAGACCAAATCCACTTTCAGGAAACATCCCTGACCCAGAAGCCGCACTTCTCCTTGTGAACAGACGGCCCCCAGGCTCTGGGATGACAGTTCTGGGTTCAAATCTCATCTCTGCCAATTTACTAGCTGGGTGCAAGGGCCAATGCATAGACTCCCTGGGCCTCCGTTTCTTCACCTAACCAGCCGGGTCCCACATGCCACCTCCAGTTGTTGAAAGGGATGAGCGAGCCAATGTCCACGAGTGCCAAGCAGGGTCCGGCACGTGGTCAGGGCTGAGTGAACAGCCTGTTGATGGGGGGTGGGAGCCTCTTAGGAACGGTAGTCAGGTTGGAAAGGGAGACCAGGAGTCTTGTCCTAAAGCTGCAGTTTTCTTTAAGTTGTGTTTTTAGCCACCAGAGGCCCCAAGCTGTCTCTTGCTGTGTTATTGGGCCTCGCCGCCGGCTCTAGATCAAAACCATTACCCTGGTGCCACCTGGGAACCTGCGGCTTAGGAACATCAGTGCCTTCATCTCTTCTCCTTCCTGAATCTTTTTTTTTTAACTTGTTTTTAATGTTTATTCATTTTTGAGAGAGAGAGGTGAAGAAACAGAGAGAGAGAGACAGAGTGTGACAGGGGAGGGGCAGAGAGGAGACACAATCCAAAGCAGGCTCCAGGCTCCGAGCTGTCAGCACAGAGCCCGATGCAAGGCTTGAACTCAAAAACGGCGAGATCATGACCTGAGCTGAACTTGGACGCTTAACCGACTGAGCCACCCAGGCACCGCTCCTTCCTGAATCTTTAACTGATTAGAAGCTTAAGCTAAAGGGATGAGGGTCTGCAGTGTATTTCCAGCCTTGGCCACAGCAGGGGAAGATTGAGAGGCCTTAGGCCTCCCACGGCTCCTGAGGTCAGAGTCCCAGACAGGAGCCTGCATGTGGCAAGAGGGGAGGACAAGGTGGCTGAAGAGGGGGCCCCAGGCCCGAATGCCCCCCTCACCTGTTTGGTGGCCACGTCCGAGAGATTGCGCAGGGTCCAGAGGCAATTCTGTACGAGGCGGGGGCTGTTGCTTGTCAGGTGTTTGCCCAGGGCCTGCATCCCACCTGGGGCACGGGACAGGGGGCATCAGCCATGGGGAGCACAGCCAGCCAAGCCTGGCTGCTGGCCCAGGCCTCCACCCTGCCCCTCTCGGCCACATGGGCCACATCCCATGGCCATACTCACCAGCCTCCACAATGGCAGGCTTATTGCTGGGACACACAGACAGCACCTTGAGCACACGGCTCGTGGTCCAGAGCAGCTTCTCATAACTGTAGTTGCGCATGATCTGCACTAGGGCCTGGGGTCCTCCATTGGCCAGGATGATGAGCTGAGGCGGGGAACAGTGGAGAATAAGTGTGAGACAGACAGGAAATACGACAAGGAACAAGGAAAGGATTGGGAGTGGCAGAGCTGTCATTACTGAGCTTCAGCTAAAACCTGAATAGCTTTTGTGACTACTAAAAAAGCCAAAACTTTGTGGGGTGCCTGGGTGGCTCAGAAGGTTGAGCGTCTGACTTCGGCTCAGGTCATGATCTTACGGTTCATGGGTTTGAGCCCCGCGTCGGGCTCTGTGCTGACAGCTCGCTCAGAGCCTGGAGCCTGCTTCGGGTTCTGTGTCTCCCTCTCTCTCTGACCCTCCCCTGCTCACGCTGCCTCTCTCTCTCTCAGAAATAAATAAAACATTAAAAAAAATTTTTTTTAAAGCCAAAACTTTGAAAAAAGGATAATATACAATGCTGACAAGGATGAGGTGAAACAGTATGAATTTATAGCACCGACAGCGACATTGTAAAGAGTACAATCCTGGGGCGCCTGGGTGGCTTAGTCGGTTGAGCGTCTGACTTTCGCTTAGGTCATGATCTCGCGGTTCGTGGGTTCGAGCCCCGCATCGGGCTCTGAGCTGGCAGTCAGCCTGTTTCAGTCTGTGACTCCCTCTCTCTCTGACCCTCCCCTGCTCACGCTGTCTCTGTCTCTCTCTCTCTCTCTCTCCTAGAAATAAATAAAAAATATTAAAAAAAAAAAAAAAAGAGTACAATCCTTCTGGATTGCGATCTGGCAGTCTGGGTCAAAGCTCAGAAACATTAAAAATCCTTAGCCCCACTGATGAAAAACTGTTCTACTTCTTGGGAAGAGCTGTGTGCCCAAAGATGTTCATGACAGCACTGCTTATAAAGGTGGAAAATTGAGAGCAATCTAAATGCCCTCCCTCAGAAAGTCTCCGTCCTCCACTTAACGAAATGCTATTTGCCCCTACAGAGGATGGTTTTGAGGATGATACAGCAAAAACAAACAGAAAACCAGACGTAGGAAACAGATGCAAAGTTGTACATGTGCCATGACTACAACCACGTACAAACGTGCCCACGGGAGAGCACCGCAGGAAGCATGTGGAGACATCAGTGGTTGTGTTGAGGATGGTGCCTTTTTTTTCCTTTCCTTTTCCTAATCCTCAAAGTATTTCAGTTACATAGGGAAATGTACTGTACTCATGTATTTAACCTAAAACTGGTGAGGGGGCAGTGGCCGGAGGCTGGAGCTGGACAGAGGGCGATGTGCCGGAAGGCTGCGGGGCTGGGCCGGGGGCGGGGGGCAGCCCACCTTGCTCTCCTGGTTGCCGTAGGCCAGGAGCTGCAGGCAGTCGGTGGTGATGGCCAGGAACTTGGGGTTGTTCTTGTTAAGCAGGGGCACCATCTTCTGCAGCCCATCTGCCAGGCGCACCGCCATCTTGGCGCCCTCCTGGTAGAGTAGCAGGTTATGCAGCGTGGTGATGGCGTAGAACAGGACCGACTCCACGGGGGAGCTGGAACGGCGGGCAGCGGGTGAATGGGAGTCGGGTCCCAAGGGCCTGGCATAAATGCAAGCTAACCTCCCCCAGGAAGCCTTGCATACCAACACCCTTGTGGAAACAGCGCTTTACTAATGTCTCGTTGTCCCTTGAGCCCAGCCCCACTCTTATGCATGGAGCACACAGCACCAACCCCCTCCCCACTGGGAGGCCACGGCTCCTCCTGCTTCTGGGCTCCTAGCCCAGCACTGGCACATAGTAGGTCTCCTGGACATCTGTCTCTACTAAGTAACTACCATAGGGGAGGCCGCGTACTAGAGAACCCCACAAGGGGGCGGGGGGGGGGGGGAGTCAGAGAATCTCCAACCTCAAGGAATTCACAGCCCAGGATGGAGATAAGGGAAAAGGCCAGTCAACATTGCAAGGCTGGGAAAGATAAAGGTGGCAAGGGACTTTGTACATGTTGTTCCTTCTACCTGGAATCGTCTTCCCTTCATCCACACAGTCTGAACCCCACGCACCCGTCAACACCCTGCTGTTCAAGTGCACAGCTCCTCGCAGCTCTGATCAATCCAGACAGACCTCTGCCCTAGCCTATGTGTATCCTCCTAACTAACGTGCTAGTCACGTGCCTGCCTCCCCTGCCGGGCTGTGAGTAGCTGAGCACTGGGACTGGGCATGGTTCTGCACCTGGCACATAGTAGGGCCTCAATAAATGTTGTATGGAAGCCCAGGGAAGGGAGCAGGGGAAGCCGTAGTATCCCACAGCAAGTAGGGGCAGTTACCTGAGCATGCGGACCAGGGCAGGGATGCCACCTGACTTGAAGATGGCAAGGAGCCCCTCGCGGTGGTGGGAGAGGTTATGCAGGATGCTCGTGGTACAGCGGGCCGTGTCCAGGTCACTGGTGTTCTGCATGGTACGCACCACAGCTGCCACCAGCTGGGGCGAGCCCATCAGCGCCCGCCGCGACGCCTCTTTCTTGGACAGCTGGTTCACAATCATGGCTGCCTTGGTCACTACCACCTGAGGGGCAGAAGGAAGGATGGGACCAAGTGAGCAGATGGGCTGGGCTGGCTGCCCCGGGGAGATGGAGGAGCCAGGCGACCCCTCCACGAAGCTCAGAGGGACCCCGGTCAGTCTCTCCCCACTGACGAGGCCCCAGGTAGGGCCGTCCCCTGCAGATGCCTGACCCCTCCCCTCTCTGCCCTGCCCCCTCCCTGGCCGCGCCCCTCACAGACCGGGTCCTCATCGTTGAGCAGTTTGGTGAGTTCGGGCAGGGCCCGGGTGGCCAGCTCAGCGTCGTCCTGGTAGTTGATGAGATGCACGATGGCTGACTTGAGCAGCTGGGACGGCTCGGCCAGCCGCTGCAGGTTGGTGGTCTGCCCCTCCACCTGGGTGGCCAGCAGCAGTGAGCTGTCTTCACCTGTCACGCCAGGACACATGGCCTCTCGCACCCGCTTGGCTCTGGCCGTCGTGGACATCTGGTACTCCAGGTCACCTGGGGGCCAAAGGGTAGGGACTGAGCTGCAGAAGGTGGTTTGGGGGGGACACTGGGGAGCAGGGCAGGCCTCATGGGCAGCCCACCTAGGTTCTCTGGGCTGGCTCCCCGCCCCCAACCAAAGCCCGGGACACCACTCTCAGTCCTACCTCTAACCAGGGGGGAGGTCACCATCGCCTCAGTTACATCATCTGTAAAATGGGCTGCCATTCTGTCCCTCACAGGGAATTCTTATGGTAATTAAATGAGATAATAGTTGTAAACTGCTCTGCAAAGAAAGGATGTAGTGCAACTAACACTACAAAACTATGAGTGAATGTTACTATTCATAGGAATAGCTACCATGTTTTGGAGTATTTACTATGCGCTTAGCTGTGAATTAAATGCTTTTCTTATATTTTCTCACTTAATCCCACAACAACCCTACAAGATAAGTACTATTATTATCTCCACTTTACAGACAGGGAAACTGAGGCACGGAGCACTTATAGGAGTCCAAGCTGGGGTGTGAACTCAGACAGCCTGCCTCCAGAGCCCAAACCCCAACCCTAGGTCCCTCCCTTAACAATCGGGTCAGGGTAGCATGAGACAGCCCAAGTCTCCTTTCAAGTCTGAAATCCCATGACTCTAATTATATCCTCATCCTCTCCAAAAGAGGCAGCTCTCCCATTACACAGGCTAGCAAAGAGAGGCCCAGAGGGCCAGCCAGTATCACACAGAAGATCAGAGGCAAAGTCGGGAATGTGGGCTTCAGAAAGCAGGAGGTGGGTTCTCAGCTCAGACTGCAGGTTCCATCCACCGCTGGGTGGGTCCAGGAGTCCCACAGATAGGTGCCCACGCTTCCTGGGCAGCCCTGCCCTGGCAAGTGCCCCAGTGCCCTGGGGGGTGGAGAGAGGCGGAGGCTCCACCCTGCAATTAGTAGGGAGGGAGACACCACAGAGCTTTCCCACCTAGGTGCTGTATTTGGTGGCTGCCAACACAGTGCCTGGGCACCCCTGCCAAGCCTGCTGTCAGGGAGGAGACCCCGAGGGGCAGGGGCTGAGCTCCACCTTGCACAGCCCACCCTCTACTTTTCCCAGCTCCTGCAGCTCACCCTGCTCATCGTTCAGGGCCCCAGGGACACGGGCAGACAGCAGTCCGAGGGCCCAGATACTCCTCGTCCCCTGTGAGCCCAGCGCCCTGGCTGGTGCGGCATCCCCACTCCCCAGCCCCAGAGCCCAGAGCCAGGAGCCAGGCTGTCGCCCCACCACCTGGCCTCAGCCTATCTGTAGTCTTCTCCTACCCCCACCAGTACCCCGGTCTCCTCATTAAACTTGAGGCTCCTGGAGCCAAAGCACCACCTTCCCCTATAATCCAGGGGCCCCCGAGGGCAACAGTGATGCCTCCTCATTATACACTAAGTTCACTGAGGGCAAGGCCAACGCCTTCAGACTGGCGGTTAGAGTCTATGCTTCCCCCTCTGTAACCTGAAGTTCAAGGAAGAGGAATCTGCCTCCCTCTCAGATGGGGGTACCCTGAAGCAGCGGTGCCTCCTCCTTCAGACGGGAGCCCCCTAAAGTCTGCTTCCTTTGGCCCTGACTTCCCTCCAGCGTCCAGGCCGGTTTTCTGCCAAAATATTTCAATGTAACCATTTCCATGAAATAGTCCCCAGGGATCCTGACCTTGGCTCTGGGGCACCTGAGTGTAGGTGGTGGTCTTCTTGAGCGTGTACTGGCGCCCGCAGGCCTCATCCTCCTCCATGATGCCCTTGCTACTGACCGAGGGCACGCAGGTGTTGGCACCCGAGTGGATGCCGGAGTCATAGGTGTATGTCTGTTGCCACTCGGTCACCTTGATGGGCTGTTCGATCAGGTTCATCACCTCCATGGTGGCTGCTGGGGACACAAAGGCGGGGCAGGAAATCAGCTGGCTCCAGCGAGGCATCCCATCATCTGGCCCAGCCCCCAGCGGGATACCCAAGTGTGAGTCCTAGGCTTCGATCTCTGACCTCCAGCCCAGGGTGGAGGGAACCCCAGGGGGAGCAGGGCAGTAAAGGCAGATGTCACACCCCAGCCCTGGGCTCACTCACCTTGCCGTCCCTGCCCAATGTTCCCAGAGCAGGAGGCGCTCAGGGCCTCCAGCAGCTTCTGGGGCCCCGCAGACCCACCCCCACACACTGGGGCTCCCTGGGAAAGTCGGTGGCGAGGCAGCTACTCCCGCAGCACTGGACAGGAAGCGGGGTGGGGCGGAAAAGCAGTCAGACAGGTTTCTCGAGAGAGCCCCAGAGGCTGCTGGGAGCAGTCCAAGGCTCCGTTGGAGACTCCAGGATCTCAGGATCTTTCCTGAAGATGGAGCAGGATCCTAAGGGACCCCAGAGGCCCAAGCCCTAAGACCTCTGTCTCGCCAGCACCCCAGTTCCTGCAAGGCTTTTCCAGAATTCTGTGCCCCGCCAACCAGTTCACATAGCAGCCCCATACTACTGGGCCAATCCACCTCTCCGCAGAGTCCAGCCCTCGTTTGCAAAATGGGGTAACAGCAACCCCCCTCGCACTCTGTTGGTACAGGCCAGATTGGTAAAGCACCCAGCCTGGCGCCTGGCACGTAGTAGGTGCTCCGTGTTGGATCCATGGCCGTGTATCAGCGTTTCCTCTCCCATAGGGGTGTTTCCCCATTTCTGGTCCTCCTAGAACCCAGGCTGGAGATGAGGGGTGGGGCAGGCCTCAGGAGGGGTCACTGCCTTTCAGACACCCCTCCTGCTCTCTGCAGGAACCTGGGGGCCCCTGAGGCTACTGAATTGCTGGGCCCTACTCTGTACTAGGGTGGCGAAGTCCCACTGGGTCTACTTGGCTTCCCCTGTCTGGGGAGCGGATTCGGGAGGAAAGGCAAGGCAAGGTGGGCTCCAGTGAGGGCCCGCCTTGTGCCAAAGCTTTCACTAATGCCACCAGCCCCACAAGCAGGTTGTGAAGTGTATGCTCTGCCCCTGCCCCATTTACAGACAGGGAAACTGAGGCTCCCCGGGCGAGGTGGCACAGTGGAGAAACGGCAGGGCTGGGCCCAGGAACAGACCTGAGAGACCCCTAGGTCTGTGGCCTCTGCACACACAGTGTGGCCTCAGACAGCAAGCAGGCTACAGGCCGGTCCACCCATGATGGTGGACAGTACTCAGCACCTCAAACCCGTGGCCCCGTCGTGATGGGGGGGCCGGGTGAGGCCAAAGTGGTTCAGCTGGTTCAGCCTGGCTCCTCCCGCCCCAGGAACAAGGATCACCAGGGATACGTCCCCCCAGCGCTACCCTCCAAGAAGAGGCTGACTGATCCTTCAGGATGCCTTCTATGGAGACCCGGGCTCCTTCCCTGCCTGTGAGCACAGCGCACCTGGTACAGGCAGAGGCAGGAGCCGGCTCAGCTCCCAGCCGCCGCCTTCCTCTCCTCCCTTCACCCCAAGTGACTCAGAGTTTCGAGCTGACAAACAGAAGCAGGCCCAGAACACCAGACAGCGGGCTCTGTGCCACCAGATGCACCCAGCTGCTTCCCAGGCCCCGGCCAAGTGTGGCTATTTCAGGAGGAGCCCCCTCCCCCACCCCCGCCATACCCAGCACTCCTGCCTCCTGCCTTCCGGGGTGGGAGAGGGAAAGAATAGAGAAGTTTGGAGAAGCAGGCTTGTCACCAAGCAGCCACCAGAGAGGAGAAACCTCCAGGGAGGAGGCCTGGGACATCCAAGCTCTGCAGAAGGAAGGTAAAACTGTACCAGGATAGGCAGCTGCATTAACCCTGTAAATGCCACCCTGCGGGGGCAGATGAGCAGACATCTGGGCACTGAGCCTCAGTTGGATCTGCTCAGGACAAACTGAACATCTTCAGCCCTGATCAGTAAGATCCGAGCCAGGGAGAGCCCCTCTCCAGCAGAGACGGCCGCCTACCTCTGCGGCTTTGGGCCCAGGCAGGGGTGCACAGGCCTCGCCCTGAACCTCAGGAATTAAGCACCCTTTCCCCACCAGCCCCATATCCACAGGGACCACCAAGATCAAGGCTGGCCACAGGAGAAGCGTTTTGCCAGCAGGCCCCTCACCACCCCTCCCAGCTCAGGCTTGGAGCCAAGAGAAGCTGAGGGCTGGGCAGCTGCTTGGGGTCAGAGGGGTGGCCCACAGAGGTTAAAGGATCCACGGGGGTGGGGACACTGAGCTGCTTTTACTATCAAAGGAGTCTCATGCTTGCCTCAAGCCACTGGGCAGGCATTTTATTATTCCCCGTTTCCAGCTGAGAAGACTAAGGCACCAACACTGAGAAAATGGCAGTGCCCGGCTCAAATGCAGACCTGCCTCACTGCACACCAGCCCACTACACAGGGCCACTCCCCTGGCTCCTAACAAGGGACCTGGGGAATGAGGGACATCCCGCAGTCAAGGAGAGACGGCGTGGCTGGGGCCTGGGTAAAGCTGAGCCCCTTGCCAGGGGACAGAGATGCTGGTGAGACTAAGGGTGCTTATAGTTGAAGGCAGGACAATGGCTGTGAATTCGGGAGTTCCAGACCCTGGCCCCAGGCCTGGTCCCACACTTACAGGTGTCCTTAGGCAACTACCTTCCCTCTGTGCTTTGTCTACAGAAAGGGTGGCCCGGCTGATCTCGGAGGAACGGAGGAACGTTGATGTCTAAGCTTCTGGGAATAAGGAACCCCGCTCCCCACGACAAATGAGGAAGCTGAGAGGGTGGGCAAGGTGAGAATCGGGGACGCAGGTCAGAGCAGACACGCTCCACAAGAGGAAGGCTAGAAATCAGACCGCAGGCAGGATGGTCAACCCGCCCCACCTTTCTCCTCCTGCCAGGAGAAGCGGAGGAATTCTCTCATGAGAAACAAAAGTGCTGCTTTGGCAGTTCCCAGGGTGGAGGGGGCCACACCCAGCCTGGTCTCGCCCAGGACCTGGAGTGAGACCCGCCACAATGCCCCTGGACAGGGCCAGGGTGGAAGCTGGTGAGACAGACACAGCCCTGCCCACACACTCAGGCCAGCGCTGGGCAGAGCCAAACACAGACACGGGGCAGTTTTCTGAGTTTCAAGGGAGGCCTTTGTTGAGCAGTATGCTCTACTGTTGGCCACACAGGAGGCAGAGAAACTGGCTCAGAGGTCACAGGGTGGGGGACAGGACAAGGGAAAAGAAAAGAAGCCTGGGCCCTGGATGGGGAGTGCAAAAGGAGCCTCCTTCAACTGGTCTACACTGGGTAGGAATCTTCAAGCAAGCTTTGCCCATACCCTGCTCTTCATTCCTGCTTCCTCCCTAGCACAGCCAACCCGGCAGGCTGGCAGGAGGCACTCAAAGTCCAACATGGTCCTGACAGAGTGTGGTCCAGCCCTGACATTCAAAATAACTGGCATTGGCACAATCTCACGGTTCGTGAGTTCGAGCCCCGCGCTGGGCTCTGTGCAGACAGCTCAGAGCCTGGAGCCTGCCTCGGATTCTGTGTCTCCCTCGCTCTCTGCCCCTCCCCCGCTCACACTCTGTCTCTCAAAAAATAAATAAATGATAAAAGAAATAAAAATTAAAAACTGCCATCGGGGCACCTGGCTGGCTCAGTCAGTGGAGCATGCAACTCTTGATGTCAGAGTTGCCAGTTCGAGCCCCACTTAGAGTGCAGAGACTGCTTACAAATAAAATCTTTTAGGGGTGGCCAGGGGGGCTCAGTCGGTTGAGCATCTGACTCTGGCTCAGGTCATGATCTCACAGCTCATGTCTTCAAGCCCCGTACCGGGCTCTGTGCTGTCAGCGCAGAGCCCTCTTTGCATCCTCAGTCTCCCTTTCTCTCTGCCCCTTCCCTGCCTGCACTCTCACTTCTCAAAAATAAGTAAACATTAAAAAAAAAACAAAAAAGGAAGAACCTCCTTTTAAAAATCTTTTTAAAAAATTAAAAAACACAAAACTGTCGCCAGAGCAACCTCGGGCCCCGGCCACCATCAGCACCGCCATCAGTGATGGGCACAGCTGGGCTGCAGGACGCCAAGTGTCAGTAAAACACCTGGAAACAAGGACAGCAATGGCCGCCCAAGAAGCGTGCAGGAAGCAGGCTTAGACATACTGCGTGAGAGCCAGAAGTGCAGGCAGAGCCCTCCAGCAGCTTCTTGGGCCAGTGGCCAGCATCCTGTGCAGACTCTGATCACGGGCTCAGACGGTGCCAGAGGAAGGGGGCTGTGGGCAAGACAGGAGAGCATAGGAGTTAGGGAGGGGGACCCATCCAGCCCCACCGCTCACTGGCCGTGTGCCCGTGGGCAAGTCACCTGATTTCCTTAAGCCTCATATTCCTCATCTGCAAAGTAGAGATGGTCAACCCTCTCCTTTCTTCAGACCATGTGTGGATTGTGGATCTAGCATAGCCATGACTGTGGAAGCCCTCTGTTGATGGTCAAGGCCTCCTTCTATTAGCAAAGCAAAGAAACGGCAGAGGAGGAGGCAAGAAGAGTTGGGCCTGCAGTTTGGGACTCAGGACCCAGGGAGGGGATCTGTCTCCGGGCCCTAAGCCAGAGTCCAGCCAGAGTCCCGGGGTGGGAGTGGGGGGCTGGGCAGGAGGAGTTATATCCGGTCTGGGAGGGGAGGCCAGGTGGAGACATGGCTCTGCCCTCTCCCCTCTCCCCAGTCACATGTGCTGCTTCCTGTAGCCAGGGGCGGTCAAGCCAGTGAGGCCTGGACATTCCCCACATAGCAGTCCCAGGAGAGAGGCTGGGCTGAGCAGGGTCACCAGCCCCCACCCTTCCCCACAGTCTCTGACTCTGGCAGAGCCTTGGCCAGCCGTCCCAGGCACACAGAAACAGACCCTAAGAAAAGGACAGACAGATATGACTGCTTCCCTTGCGAGCCCTGTCTCCCTCGTCGGGCTAAGACTTCTCAACTAGGCCTCTTCCCTCAGAT